TCCAACATTTCCATGCTCCCAATCCACCAGAATTTGACCCAAAATCCCAGCTCAAAGCCAAAACCTCTCCTGCTCCCCAGCTCCTCACACCTGAGGGCCTGCAGAGCAGCACAAGCTTCTCCTGGTTCTCCTTTTCTATTTTATGCAGGATGGAAGCTGGGAGCAGTTTGAACTGTATTTTAATTAATTGTCTTAAAATAAGCTATTTTTCTGTAGCTGTGTCTGAGCAAAATGTTGTGGGGTTTTTGTTTTGTTTTGGGGGTTTTTTGGATGTTTTTTGGGTTTTACCTGCCAAAATCCAGGAGTGGCCCATTGTGGGTGTACTTGAACTTGAAGTGGTAACACTCAGTGACTATCTGCAAACAAAGCCAGGATTAATTAATTAATGATTAAATTAATGATTAAATTAATTATTAAATTAATCTAAGCACTCCTGCTGCAGCTCTGCTCATTAACCTACCAACCTTTAAAGGAATAACTAAAACCCAACTCCCATGTGCTGAATACAGCTTCCTAATCCTCTAACAATGAACAGCAAAAATGCATAAAACTGTTTAAAACTTCATAAAAATGATGATTCTTTTCCAGGAATCAGTGTGATCAAATATTTTGAAAATCAGCTGAAGTTTTTAGCATGAAATATTCCAGTTTGAATGAAAATGGAGCATTTGTGGTGACACCCAGTGGGTTTTGTGTTTTCCATAAAAGCCCCACAAATTTTTTTAGGCAGAATCAGGATGGGACATTTCACTCTGCAGTGATATTTTGGTTTCTGAAAATACTCAAAATGCAATTCCACACTCAATTACACTCAAAATGCAATTCCACACATGGCAAAAATTCCCATTTTTACACCTGGTGTTTCAAAATGCTCTTTTTAAATAGAGGTGCATGTTAAATATTTCTGTTTGTACCCACTGTATTTCACTATATCCACATTGAGATATTCCAGCAGATTTACCTGAGGCTCTTCTGTCTGGGTATAAACCTGTGGTTTTGGAGAAAATAAAAGAAAAGAAAATAAAGAATGAGAACTGCACATTTCTCAAAGAATATCCCCAAAAATGCCCCTGCCTTTCAGAGATNGGCTCCTCCTGGAACAGCAGCCCCTCGTCCTGGGCCTCCCTGAAGCCTGGGGGTTGGTAATCAGGGGGGGTGACTGCACAGAGATGAAAGGGTTAGGGCTTGCAAAAGTGATTTGAACTGGTTTTGCTTTTAAATATAGAGAGTTACAGCAAAAAACTGTGTGGGGAGGGGAATAATCAATATTGAGTTTGGAGTAAATGAAGCACAACAGGCAAAGCCCTGGTAAAGCTCTTTGGAAGAGGGTACAGAGAGAGAAAATAGAAGTTCTGATTTGTCACTCAACAGGCAAAGCTCTGGTAAAACTCTTTGGGAGCTTTACCAGAGCTTTATCTCTGTGGATACACAGAGAAAAAAGAGAAGCTCTGATTTGTCATTGTAAGGCAGAGAAATGATTTAGGTCTTGCAAAACTGATTTTTAACTCTTTTCTTCTTTAAATACAGAGAATTATTGTAAAAACTATGTGGGGAGTTGAGTAATCGAGTCTGGAGTAAATGAAGCCCAACAGGCAAAGCTCTTTGGAAGAGGGTACAGAGAGAGGAAATAGGAGCTATGACTTGTCATTGTAAGGCAGAGAAATGTTTTAGGTCTTGCAAAACTGATTTTAACTCTTTTCTTCTTTAAATATAGAGAGTTACAGCAAAAAACTGCTTGGGGAGGGGAGTAATCAAGTTTGGAGTAAATGAAGCACAACAGGAAAAGCTCTGGTAAAACTCTGAAGGTTGTAGGTACAGAGAGAGAAAAGAGAAGCTCTGATTTGTCATTGTAAGGCAGAGAAATGAAAACTTTTAGGTCTTGCAAAACTGATTTTAACTATTTTCGCTTTTAAATATAGAGAGTTATAGCAAAAAATTGCTTGGGGAAGGGAATAATCAATATTGAGTTTGGAGTAAATGAAGCACAAAAGGAAAAGCTCTGGTAAAACTCTTTGGAAGAGGGTACAGAGAGAGAAAACAGAAGCTCTGGTTTGTCACTCTAAGGCAGAGAAATGTTTTAGGTCTTGCAAAACTGATTTTAACTATTTTCGCTTTTAAACATAGAGAGTTACAGCAAAAACTGCTTGGGGAGGGGAGTAATCGAGTTTGGAGTAAATGAAGCACAACAGGCAAAACCCTGGTAAAACTGGAAGTTTGTGGGTAAAGAGAGAGGAAATAGGAGCTCTGATTTGTCACTCTCAGGCAGAGCAATGAAATCTTTTAGATCCTGCAAAACTGATTTTAACTCTTTTCTCCTTTAAATACAGAGAGTTACTGTAAAAACTGCTTGGGGAGGGGAGTAATCAATATTGAGTTTGGAGTAAATGAAGCACAACAGGCAAAACCCTGGTAAAACTCTTTGGAAGAGGTTGTAGGTACAGAAAAAGGAAATGTTTTAGATCCTGCAAAACTCTTAATTAACTCTCAAATTTTAACTCTTCTCTCCTTTAAACATAGAGAGTTACTGCAAAAAACTGTGGGGAGGGGAATAATCAATATTGAGTTTGGAGTAAATGAAGCACAACAGGCAAAGCTCTTTGGAAGAGGGTACAGAGAGAGAAAAGAGAAGCTCTGATTTGTCACTCTAAGGCAGAGAAATGTTTTAGATCTTGCAAAACTGATTTTAACTCTTTTCTCCTTTAAATACAGAGAGTTACAGCAAATATCTGCTTGGGGAGGGGAGTAATCAATATTGAGTTTGGAGTAAATGAAGCACAACAGGCAAAACCCTGGTAAAACTGGAAGTTTGTGGGTCCAGAGAGAGAAAAGAGAAGCTCTGATTTGTCATTGTAAGGTAGAGAAGTGAAATGTTTTAGGTCTTGCAAAACTGATTTTAACTATTTTCGCATTTAAATATAGAGATTTACTGTAAAAAACTGTGTGGGGAGGGGAATAATCGAGTTTGGAGTAAATGAAGCCCAACAGGAAAAGCTCTGGTAAAACTCTTTGGGAGGTTGTGGATAAAGAGAGAGAAAAGAGAAGCTCTGATTTGTCACTGTAAGGCAGTGACACACTCAGAAAGCAGAGCAGGTATTTGGACAGACTCCAGGCTGGGGAATTTTGCTACAGCCTGACATGCTCTGGGAAACTCCAAATGGGAAACTGTGCTACACCTGACATGCTCTGGGAAACTCTAAATGGGGAATTTTGCTACAGCCTGACATGCTCTGGGAAACTCCAAATGGGAAACTGTGCTACACCTGACATGCTCTGGGAAAGTCCAAGTGTTTTACAACCCAGGCAAATGCAGAGAAGTCAGTGCCAGGATTGTGTTCCTGCAGTGAGATCACGTCCCCTCCCCTTGGCAGTCAACCTGTCCTGACAAACAGCCACACATGAAACAACCTCACTTAAATCTCAGCAGCCACAAAGATTATCCACTGAAAAAGTGAAAAATGTCCTTTTTGGTCTTGTTCTGCAGAGCCTGATCAATCAGGGTGACACGGCAGTGTAGCCTTGTGGTGCTGTGAGGTCCCCAGGATGAGGTGAGAGAGGAGAATTTGACTTCAGGTTCTCAGAAGGCTGATAATAATAATAATAATAATAATTATTATTATTACTATTACTATTATTATTATTTACATCATATATGTTATAATATTTATTATATATTATAATTTACATTATATTTATATTATAGACGTTATGTAATATATAGTTCATTATGTTATACATCATATATAATATATATAACATATTATATAACATATAACAGATTATATATGTAATATATAATCTGTTATGATATACATTATGCATTATGTATAATATGATATATATATGTAATATATAATCTGTTATGATATACATTATGCATTATGTATAATATGATATATTACATATATAATCTGTTATATAATGTTATATAATATGTTATATATATTATATTCTATATTATACATAATATCATCTTATACCATATAATATCATCTTTATATTATATTATCTTATATCATATACTAAAACTACACTAAAGAAAGGATACATCAGAAGGCAGGAAAAGAATGAATAATAAAAAACCCGTGACTGACTCAGAGAGTCTGACACAGCTGGTGGGGATTCGCCATTAATTAAAAACAATGCACATGTTTGGATAAACCATCCCCAGACCACATTCCAGAGCAGCACAACACGGAGAAGCTGAGGCTGCTCATGTTGCCAGGAGAAGAACCCCTGGCTGAAAGGATTTTTCAGAAACCACCTCAGTGACCCACCCTCATCGTAGTAGAGCAGTTTCATGGTGAGGCAGACGTCGCTGGGCAGGGGGCTCAGGTTCTGCATCAGGATGTAGATCTTGCGGATGAGCAGGATGCTGGCCCGCTTGGTGTCCGCACAGCTGATGGGGCACTCGGACCTGTTCTCCTGGCTGGGAGCAACAGCAGCCACCTGAGCTTTGGTTGTGTTGTGATCTCAGGGTTTAGCTCAGAACCTCGGGTCCCTCCNATGTTTGCACCATAATTTTTCAACAATATGGAAACATTATTTTTTTCAACAGCATGGAAATGGCAGCTGGTTTGGCAAAGCCACAAATGTTTCTTTTCAAAAAAAACCCCAAAAAAAACCCCAAATCCAACATTTCTGTCCAGCAATGGGTTCCAGATGGTCTGGGTGCCACAAGCAGAAATTTCCTCCTTCAGTTTGTTTGGCAGCAAAGTTGAGTCCTCAGGGCCCTGGGCAAAGTGGGGAAATGGGAACACAAAACATTTTCTGCTTTATCTGAAATGTGGAAAGGAAATTCCTGAGATGCAATGGGAGCACAAACCATCCTCTGCTTTATCTAAAATGTGAAAAGGAAACTCTGGTGATGTTTCTGGTTATAAAATAAAACACACTCTGGTGAGGTTTCTGTCCATAAAACAAAATTAATTCTGGTGAGGCTTCTCATAAAATAAAACCCATTCTGGTGAGGTTTTTGTCCATAAAACAAAATTAATTCTGGTGAGGTTTCTCATAAAACAAAACTCATTCTGGTGATGTTTCATAAGACAAACCCCATTCTGGTGAGGTTTCTGGTTATAAAACAAAACTCATTCTGGTGAGGTTTTGGTTAATAAATCAAACCCCATTCTGGTGAGGTTTCTGTCCATAAAACAAACTCATTCTGGTGAGGTTTCTCATAAAATAAAACCCATTCTGGTGAGGTTTCTGTCCACAAATCAAACCCCGTTCTGGTGAGGTTTGTGTCCATAAAACAAAATTAATTCTGGTGAGGTTTCATAAAACAAACCCCATTCTGGTGAGGTTTCTGTCAATAAAATAAAACACACTCAGGTGAGGTTTTTGTCCATAAAACACAATTAATTCTGGTGAGGTTTCATAAAACAAAACACACTCTGGTGAGGTTTTGGTTATAAAACAAAACACACTCAGGTGAGGTTTTTGTCCATAAATCAAACCCCATTCTGGTGAGGTTTCTCATAAAACAAAATCCATTCTGGTGAGGTTTCATGAATCAAACCCCATTCTGGTGAGGTTTCTGTCCATAAAACAAAATTAATTCTGGTGAGGTTTCTGGTTATAAAATAAAACTCATTCTGGTGAGGTTTCTCATAAAACAAACCCCATTCTGGTGAGGTTTCTGTCCATAAAACAAAATTAATTCTGGTGAGGTTTCATAAAACAAAATTAATTCTGGTGAGGTTTCATAAATCAAACCCCATTCTGGTGAGGTTTTGGTTATAAAATAAAACCCATTCTGGTGAGGTTTCTTTAAAAAAAACGCATTCTGATGAGGTTTCTGTCCATAAAACAAAACACACTCTGGTGAGGTTTCATAAAACAAACCCCATTCTGGTGAGGTTTCTGGTTATAAAATAAAACACACTCAGGTGAGGTTCCTGGTTATAAAACAAAACCCATTCTGGTGAGGTTTCATGAATCAAACCCCACTCTGGTGAGGTTTTTGTCCATAAAACAAAATTAATTCTGGTGAGGTTTCTCATAAAACAAACCCCATTCTGGTGAGGTTCCTGGTTATGAAATAAAACACACTCAGGTGAGGTTTCTCATAAAACAAACCCCATTCTGGTGAGGCTTCTCATAAAATAAAACCCATTCTGGTGAGGTTCCTGGTTATAAAATAAAATTAATTCTGGTGAGGTTTTGGTTAATAAATCAAACCCCATTCTGGTGAGGTTTTGGTTAATAAATCAAACCCACTCTGGTGAGGTTTCATAAATCAAACCCCATTCTGGTGAGGTTTCTCATAAAACAAAACACACTCAGGTGAGGTTTTTGTCCATAAAATAAAACCCATTCTGGAGAGGTTTCTGTCCATAAAACAAACCCATTCTGGTGAGGCTTCTCATAAAACAAAATCCATTCTGGTGAGGTTTCACAAAACAAACCCCACTCTGGTGAGGTTTTTGTCCATAAAACAAAATTAATTCTGGTGAGGTTTCATTAAAAAAAAACACATTCTGGTGAGGTTTCTGTCCATAAAACAAAATTAATTCTGGTGAGGTTTCTCATAAAACAAACCCCATTCTGGTGAGGTTTCTCATAAATCAAACCCCACTCAGGTGAGGTTCCTGCAGCAGCAGCAGCACAGAGAGGC